CAGTGGTTTTTTAAGTTTTTTACCTGCCGGACATGAAAACCGAAAAAATCCGGAAAAATTTCCATGTAAGAAAGGCGCTATGATGCCGTGGCCTAGGTTTCTCACTGCGCGGGAATTCAAATCCTATTTTTTTTTCAGCGCCGTTTTTCGGGGATTTAGGATTTTTTTTGAATTTTTTCGCAATTATATTGGGAAAATACATAATTTTTGAAACATTTTAATGCAATAAAAAATTTTGGTCGGAGTCCTCCTTTAATGATAAAAAATCACAGATAAGATCACTGAATCTTCACTAATTCCAACTCAAATTAATTTCAAATTTTCATGATTCTCATCTCAAAGTATGGTGTTCCAGTGGGTAGGAACTTTCAAAAACTGCTCTGATCTAGAGAAAGGGAGCGAGAATGCTATTAAATTTTTGGTTGATTCTCTCCAGTATGCAATGCAGCCAAACAAAATCGAAAGGATGATGCCGATTATTGGCAATTGCACCACACCAAAACAAAAAGAAGTATTCGAAGAAGCTTGCGATAAATGTATCTTACTAATTTTTTGAATTTGGCACCATTTTCCGGATCACCCCAGTGGAAAAAATTCCAGTCCAAATTTTCAGATTACACCAAATCAGAATAGAGCAAAGATGAGTTAATCGAATCTGGAGTTTATGAATTCTGCTGTAATATCATTGACACTTGCTTCCCGTTTTATACTGAGGTTACCTGCATCCCCAAAAGCTGGGGTACTGTACCTCCAAGCCATTTCTGAACTTTCAGACCTGGTTCTATGTTGTCTGTGGAGGTGTTGGCCTTCTTCAGTGTTGGCCTTCTCATGACAATTGCATTCGTCGTTTATTTGTATGGTTTTCGCAAGAAGAAAGTATTTGGAGGCGGAGCAAAGAGTAGAGGTGCAACGAAGAGCTCCGAGAGCACATCGAAGAACAGTAGGAAATGAAGAACAGAAGTGGATAACTGATAACTTGATTGTTCCTTTTATTTTTCACTGATAAATAAACTTTGATAATCTGTAGCTGTTCTTTAATTCATATTTTAAGGATCCTTGAAATTTTCTGTCTTAGAATCTTAAGATATTACAACCTTAGGGTCTTAGGAACTTGGAAACTTGGGACTTGGGATACTGGAATCTTCGGATTTTTGGATACTGGTATCTTAGGATCTCCGGATTTCCAATTCCTAAGATCCGAAGATTCTAACCCATGACATCTTCAAGAAAAAAAATTGATATTTTTTTCTGAATTTAGATAAGAATCTCATTTTCTCCTGAATTTTCACACTTCTCATAAAAAATTAGGTTAATTTTTTCTCATAAAAACCTTTGATAACCATCTAGCACATTTTTTATTCCGATAAAAATCTACTGATAAAATACAAAAAAAACTTAATCGATTCCAACTCAAATCAGTTTCAAATTCAACTGATTCTGCTTTCAAAAATGATGGCAACAACTGCAGTTTGTAATGGTAGTCCGGTTTCATTCTCGACTGATCGATTGAGAGCGTTTGCTGATAAGATTCACGATTTGACTTCTGTACGCACGAACTCTGGCCCAAAAATGGAAAATTTTCTTGGAGCTTGCTCACCGGCTGAAATAAAGTTGGCAAAGTCTGCATGCAAGTTCGGTAAATGAAGTCATCAATTTTTCAAAATAAGATTGTTTTTCAGTACTCCACCCCTCAATAGAGAAAAACTCAGTGACATATGGTCTTTGCTGCGATGAATTGAAAGTGTGTGCCGGATACACTAAACAAGAAAGAAGAGGTCTTAAGTTGGTATGGGGGATGAAAAAAGTTAAGAAATGTACTGATATCCCAACTCGTGATTTTGATCAAAAGGCAGAAGTTATCGATGCTCTTGTTTCGAGCTACAAAATTGAAAGACCATTTGATGTTCGTGGAGACGTGGAAACATTTTTTAGCACTTGCCCATCAAAACACAAAGAAGTATTTGGAGAGTCATGCGACAAATGTATTTTGCTCACATTTTTCACCAAAATCGTGTATTTTTCAGTTTACGCCAATTCTGACAAAAGCGGGAACAAGGACACTATTGGTTATGGTTTTTGTTGTGAAACGCTCGAAGTTTGCCCTCCACCGTCTTCTAGCGTCGAAAACGGAGAAACCTCGCCATTCTATACTCAGGTGAGATGTGGTACTGTATCATCCATCTATTTTTAATTTCCAGACCTGGTTCTTCGCTGTCTGTGGAGGTGTTGGTATTCTTCTGATAGGCTCCATTGTCGTTGTAGCCTATTTCTTTTGTATTCGCAAAAAGGGAGGTGGAGGAAAAAGTGGTGGTGGTGGAATGAAAAGTTCCAAGAAGAGCACAAAGAGCAAGAGCAAGAAATGAAGAAAAGCAATGGATAACTGATAACTCGATATTTCCTTTTTTATAAAGAGAAATAAACTTTTATAATCAGTAAATTTGCTACTTGAAAAGCTTTCATTTACACTAGTATACAGAAAATGAGCCGACAGAAAGCTTTTTTGTCGATCTGGAGTTACAGAGCACTTCAAATTTTTTTCTCAAATTGAAAAACACGGAGTTCCAAACAGCGAAAGCGGTTCTTGGTTGGTGTTTGCTGACGCGTTTTCGGTGCACTCTGCGTCTCTTCCATTGTAGTTATCTATCGGGTAGATCAAAAATACCAGCAAGCCTAGAGACAGTGTTCAACCGGTTTTTGAATTTTTTCTGACTGCAAAAAAATATTTTCTGAAATGTTTCACGCTCAGATGATAGATGACCTAAATAGCTGTCTAATAAGCTATTGTCCATAAAAATTCGTCGGCTCAAACAAAAGTTATTTCCAGTTTTCTATTTTCGACATAAATTGGACCGATTTTCATACTTAAACCCAATGTCTATTCTTCTCGTTTGGTATTCAGTTTACTAATAGTTTATAGATTGATACTAAACAAAAACATTTTAAGATCATTCGATTTGGGCTGAAAAAATAAGCATTTTCTGTAAAACTACAAAACGCGAAATAACTTTTTTAGGAAAAATGCTATAAATTAGTTCAACAGCTTGAATTATAGGTCTCCGATTCTTCTTTCATCTGAGCGTGAAACATTTTGAAAAATATTTTTTTGAATCGGAAAAATTATCAAAAAACTGAAATTTCAGTACTAAAATTTTGTGATCTACGCCTATAGCGCCAAAAAAATCGGCTTTTGCGCTCCACTGCGAAAATGGAAATGTAGATCAAAATTTCGAATTAAAAATTTTCAAGAATCTTTTTTTAGCCTACATTTTTTTATATTATAAAACTCGAACTTTAAAAAAATTCAAAATTAAAGTTCTAAAGAATTTTTTTGAATCTATGCTGAAAATTATCTAGGCTTCTTTACTGTGAGGGCTGTCAAATTTTCATAAAAATTTAGTTCGAAAATTTTTTTCCACTTGCTTTTTATGTCCCCAACATGTAGATTGCATCTTCCATGGAAAAAATGCATGCACTTTTTCCGTGCTGATAAGATCTTACTTTTTGGATAGTGAGAAACAGACCTAGATTGAATACTTTACATTCACAGAATTCTTTGAAAATTCCTAGTTTTCAGCTATTTTCCGATTTCTGAAAGACACCCACTTTGGTCCGTTTTTCGTACTGAAACGTTTTTTTTAAATTTCGGTTGTTTTTTAACTCAACATTTTTTTGTGCAAAATTCATCTTCATTTCAAGGAGGTCAATCAAGAAACACAACAAGATAATTTTCACAAAAAAAAATTACACAATCTATAAAAACTGATGTCTGGCTTGCCCGTCGTGTCAACTCGTCTTGGAAAATGTGATGGTTTTTTTTTTCGAAATTAGCAAATTCTGCAAGTGGTAGCACAGTACACTCTACGTTGTGCAGCGGTGTAGAACGTGTTGGTGCAGAATCCATTAGTAGCCCATGCTCTGCACGAGGCGCTCGTGTCGGCGATGAATGACGTGCAGGTTCCAGTGCCAGTTCCTGTCGAAGCGGCAGTGGTGGTTCCACATCTTTGGCAGGTTCTTTGGCAGTACTGGTTCACAAAGTCTTGCATGCCGACGGCGTTGCAGATGGAGATGTCGTTGTCGCAGTTCATGACTCCATCGACACATCCTCCATCGTTACAGAATCCACAGGCTGATGGGCAGTCGGCGGCGATGATGGTACGCCAAGTACATTGGTGCATTGGGAGGGGAGGATCGTCTCGCATCTGATGCGTGGGACTGAAAATGGGAAGGCTTGTGAGATAGGTGGTGAGGAGGTCCTAAGACTTTGAAGTTGGGATGTCATCAATTCCTGACATCAGTCAGATCCCAAGTTTTTCAAGTTGACAAAAATTCCATGGGAAAATTCCATCATTTTACTTTCCTGGTGCACCCCTATGAAATGAGCCGCGACCCATAAGTTTTGGAAGGTCCTAGATCGGCACCAAGTGAATCCTAACACTCATGTGGTAGTAAAATATTAAACTTACAAAGTTATAACGTCCGTAGGGTGCTTAGGTCATATGTCGGTAAGGTTTATATGGTCCCAAGTAAGTGAGGATCGTCAAGTTTGTAAGGTCCGTAGGTCTATCACTTTTTGGATGTTCAGGTATTGTATTGGTAAACTGGTGGGGTCCTAAACTTGTAAGGTATAAGATCTGTAGTGTTCTAAGCCTTTAAGTTGGGCTTGTCTAGCTTGTAAGGCCCATAAGGTCTTGATGTCTCTATGGTCTTCAGAACCTCAGATCGAGGAACCTTCAAATTACGTAAGTCCTGAAATCGCAAAACTCACAATTAACATTTCTGCAATTATAGGCGCCGGTCTGACAGCAGTATCCACACGATTTTGGGCACGAATCCAACGCAGCTTTCTTCATATCAGCACTGAATGCTCCAGCACTGATACCCTCCTCATTAAAACAGTTGAATGGACGTTCGACATCATTTCCAGGGCCTGGGTATGCTCCAGCATTTACTGGAGCATAGAGCACATCACAGGAAGCGTCAGAGATAGTGTTACTGCACACGGTGGCGCTTGGTGCGTAGACAAAAGCGCCGGCAACGAGGGTGGTGCAGTTGAAATCACCAACGATTAGAGCAGAGGCTGCAGAGACTAGGAAGACGAGAAGAGCAATCATATTTTGTGGCGGGCAGGCCAGTGAAGTGAGGATCCTTGGTTAGGAGGTAGTGAGGATCCTTGGTTAGGAGGTAGTGAGGATCCTTGGTTAGGAGGTCTCTTTTATACGAAAATTGGGGTACTCTGCACCATACTCTGTATGAAGTATTCTCTCATTTTTTTTGTTTACACAGATGGCAATTTTTGATACAAAAAAACCAAGCGTTATTAGTTTGAACACAACTGTCGAAAGTTGGTTTTTTCCGTTTCGGTTTAAGACTCTAAATTGTAGAGGAATTGTTGTTTTAGCTGCGGATGTGATTATGATGGCGGTTTTGGATATAGTGTTTGTTTTTTGCATTTTTTTTTGAATCTAACAGGTTGTGGATTTGTGATCTTTAGATACTCGTGATCTCCATGGAAGTGAGGAATTTTAAAAATTCATAAATTCAGAATATCAAGAAGTAAGTGGAGAAATTCCAGCAAGTTTAGATATTCAGAAAAAGTTTCAAAATTATGAAGTTACTGGAAACCCCGAAATCTTCGTTTTTAAGATTCAGTAAAGGTCGAAATTTTGAAATTGGTCGAAATTTTGAAATTTCCATCGAAGTCATAAATTCGGAAACTCTGAAACTCTGAAAATTCTGTATTTCTAAATTAATGAACATTCTGAAACTCTGAGTGAAGAAAAATTCTATGAATTCTGAAATTTCTGAAAACTCTGAACTTCTGAATGAATGAAAATGCTAAAATTATGAAAACTCTGAATCTCTGATAATCGTGATATTGAGAAAATCATAACTCCTGAAAAATCTGAAATTCCGGATTTTTTCTGGGCCATAGAAATATGTACTAAATTTCTGAATTTCTGAATTTCTGAATTTCCGAATTTCTAATTTTCTGAATTTCTAAATTTCTGAATTACTGAATTCCCGAAATTTCTGAAAATCTGAAATTTCTGAAAAACTGAAATTCCGGATTTTTTCTGGGCTATTGAAATATAAACATTCCGAGAATCTCTCATAGTAAATACCGAAGAAGATTAAGATATTTAATGCAGCCACTCAGAATTACAAGAAATTTCAATACTCCGATTAATACCAAAAATGTCTTAAGTTAGTCTGAAAATTACGAATTTCTACGAAATTCAGCAACTCATTTTTTTGTCATAAATTTCCTCTGTTTTCTTTAACACTTTTCCAGATTCTTCAATTTTCCAGTATCCCAGTATCCCAGTATCCCAGTATCCCAGTATCTCACTATCCCAGTATCCCAGTATCCTCGTATCCATGATCTTAAGATCTCAAGATCCAAGAACCAGTAAAAAAAGAAATGAAATTCGAAAAAATTGGATTTTTCGAAAGATTTATGTTCAATTTGTTTGTAGAAGGGCCTAG